GATGCTTAAAACCTCTTAACAGTGTCTTGCCGAGTCGGATGATAACAACTGCAGCTGTAATATCTTTGAATCTATGTTGTCTGCTCAACAGCAAGATGCTGTAATGAAATTTCTTATCGGCCTAAATGATTCTTACTCTTCCTTAAGGAGCCATTTTCTGCTATCAAACCCCTTGCCACCTCTGTCCAAAGTCTATTCCCTTCTTTTACAGGAAGAGAGCCAAAGAACTCTCCAAAATCCTTCCAAAAACATAGATTCCATTGCTATGCTTGCTAAAACCTACAAACCTTCTTACAAACCTTCTCAAAACTATTCACATCAACCTGCTTCCAACACTTCTCATCAACCACCTCAACAACAAACCACTCAATCCAAAAAGAGATACAAATGTGACCACTGTGGTTATAACCATCCTTCTGAAAGGTGCTACCAGGTAATAGGCTATCCTGCCAATTGGATAGGACCTAGAGGCACCAGAATTCATCCTGATAAAATTTCTTCAAAAGCAAATTTTGCTTCATCTACTGATACTCATGTTCCTGCTTCAAATTCTATAACTGATCAACTTTATCATGAGTTTTTGGATTTCAAAAAGATGTCTGAGCAGAAACAGGGTGTTCCTAATCTTGTGGCTGCTACTGCACAAACTGTTGCTCATTCTGCTAACATTACTGGTAAGACTGACTCTTTTATTTGTCTTTCTCAATCAAACTTTAACAAAAACACCTGGATTTTGGACACATGAGCAACTGATCACATGATTTGTGACTTTACAATGTTTTCAAAACCTCCTACTCCTACTTCTATCAAAATAAACTTACCAAATGGAGATTTCACTGAGGCTAGCCATGTGGGACAGATTAATCTGGGACCTAATCTTGTGCTCCTCAATGTTCTCTATGTTCCAAAATTTTCCTTTAATCTCATTTCTATTTCCAAGCTAACTTCTTCAAATAATTGCCTTGTCAAATTTGTATCTTCCTTCTGTGTTATACAGGACCTGAACAGCAAAATGATTGGTTTTGCTGAGGTCAAAGCTGGGCTTTACCATCTTTCCATTGAATCTTTGTTTGATATTAATGCCAGAATATCTGATGTAAATGCAAATATGTCTGTTGTCTCTTGTTGTCTCTCATTCTCCTGATGTAAATGCTCATATACCTGTAACTGATCATGCTTTTGTCTCTGTCACTGATGTATCCCATGACATATGGCATTACAGATTAGGGCATTTGTCTTTTCATAAACTTGCTACATTACCAGTATGTAATACTTCTTGCAAATCTGCTGCTTCTTTGCCATGTGATGTATGCCATTATTCTAGACAGAAGAAGTTACCTTTTACTCAAAGTACATCTATTGCTTTACATAGTTTTGATTTGATACACTGTGATCTCTGGGGACCTTTCTGTGTCCCATCTTATGCTGGTTATAAATATTTTCTCACCATTGTTGATGATTTCTCTAGAGTCACATGGATATATCCCCTCTGTTCTAAATCAGATACTAAATCTGCATTGACTCATTTTTACAACCAAGTTCAAAATCAATTTCAAAAATCCATCAAAACTATCAGGTCAGATAATGGCACTGAATTCTTTCTGCATGATTTTTTCAAACTTAATGGGATTATTCATGAAACTAGTTGTGTTGAGACTCCACAACAAAATGGTAGAGTTGAAAGGAAACATCAACACCTTCTTCAAGTTGCCAGGGCAATAATGTTTCATGCCCACCTTCCCTTAAATTTTTGGATTGACTGCATTCAGACAGCAGCTCATATTATAAATAGAATCCCTTCAAAACTTTTGCAAAATGTTTCTCCTTTTGAAAAGCTTTACAACAAACCACCTTCATTAAATCACCTCAGAGTGATTGGTTCTTTATGCTATGCATCAACTCTACAAAGCAACAGACACAAATTTGATCATAGATCCTCCAAGTGCATTCTTCTTGGTTATCCATATGGTTGTAAAGGCTACAAGCTTTACAACTTAGATACGAAGAACATAGTTATTTCCAGAAATGTTATATTTTATGAAGATATCCTTCCTTTTAAATTTCCTTCAAAATCATCCTTTGAAGCCCTTTTTCCTCCCCCACCAGATTATCATGATATTAATTCCAAACCCACTCCCACAACTCTTACACCTCAGACTCCTACTCATTGTTCACCTTCTACCTCCCCTACACAGAGCCTTCCTCTTCCCACAGACTGTAACCAAAACTCTGACCCTCAGATAAATACATCACCTCCTATCTCTCTCAGAAGATCTACAAGACATAAACAACTACCATCATATCTCAGTGTTTACAAACACCCATTTTCTGATCAGTCCAACCATCCTCACTCCAATCTTACATCTTCATACAATTCATCTTCTGGAAAACATAATTCAGGATCTCCATATCCTATTTCAAACTTTCTTTCCACTAAACATCTTTCATATGATCATGCATGTTTCACTTCATCTATCTCTGAACATTGTGAACCTAGAACTTACAAGCAGGCTGCTTCTAATCCACTTTGGAAAGAAGCAATGTCAAAAGAAATAAATGCCTTAGAGAAAACCAACACCTGGATTCTAACTGATTTGCCAAAAGGCAAACATTGCATTGGTTGTAAATGGGTATATAAGATAAGATATAAATCAGATGGCACAATTGAAAGATATAAAGCCAGATTAGTAGCTAAAGGATATACCCAAGAAGAAGGCATTGATTATTTTGACACATTTTCCCCTGTTGCTAGATCACAACTGTGAGATTAGTCATTGCACTTGCATCCATTCATAATTGGCATATTCATCAATTAGATGTTAACAATGCTTTCTTGCATGGTGACCTTGATGAAGAAGTGTACATGACCCCACCCCCTGGATATTGTGAACAATCTGATTCTAGAGTTTGCAAATTGATTAAAAGTTTATATGGGTTAAAACAGGCTAGTAGACAGTGGTTCAACAAGTTAACTCATTGTTTGCTTAAATATGGTTTTACTCAGTCCTCAGCAGACTATTCTCTGTTCACTAAATCCTCTGATTCTTCCTTTATTGCTCTGTTGGTATATGTTGATGACATCATCTTGACAGGAAATTCTTTATCTGAAATAGAGTCTATCAAATCCCATCTTGACTTATGTTTTACTATTAAAGATCTGGGTAAGTTGAAGTACATTTTGGGCATTGAAAT